ATGGTTCAGTCAGCTTGAAAAGTGCTTGCATAATTAAGAAAATTCAGTCTCCTCTAAAAGAAGTCATTCATCATTAACAAGTGGTGTTTCATCAGCTCATCTGAAAGAAAAACAAAAGCAAGTTGAATTAGAGACAAAGATGAAAGCATTAAAAGAGAAACAGAATATAAACTAAGCTAAGATGGAATTGAAAATGAAAGAAGAAGAGTTAGAACTGAAAACAGAGATTTCTCAAGCAAAGTCTAAAGTGTTTCAAGATTTCTTTCTCTGATAGAAGTAGTGTGAAATCAGAACTTTCACTAGAGCCACAAGATCCATATGTCCCTGTTCCCGTGAATGAAGAAAATATAAATGAACATTTCAACACTGAATGTAAACAGTACTTACCTGATAAACTTACCTCGACAAGAAGACTTCAATCAACATTTGTCGCCACGAACTACCGCAGCAAGCGGTGATAATCTTATTTAGTGTGTAGTGCAACAGCTCTGAAAGCCGCCTCCTGAAATCATGAAGTTCTCTGGGGATCCTGTTGACTATCAAAGATTCAAGCGTCAGTTCAATGTGAGGATTGTTGTCAAATCAAAAACAGAAGATGAGAAGATGTCATATCTAGAACAGTTCACTTCAGGTGAAGCGCTGAAAATTGTCAAGGGATTTAGTTACCTGGAGGCCGATCAAGGGTGTCGTACGGCATGGCAGGGACTTGATGAACGATACGGCAATGAAGAAGCTGCTGCATCTGCTCTCGTCAAGAAAGCATTGGGATGGCCTTATGTAAAAGTAGACAACCCTAAATCCATGGAAGAATATGCCATCTTTCTACAAGAATGTGAGAATGCAGAAAGCGTCATCACAGCAGTGAAGATCCTGAAGTATCCTGACAACATCAGAAGGCTTGTCATGAAGCTACTTTTCCATTGCCTTGAGAACTGGAGGAATCTCTATCATGTCATATCTATCAGGGATACTGGTGGAACTGTAGCATTCCATAACCTAGTCAAGTTTGTGAAGAGAGAAGCGAGAAAAGCAACAGATCCAATGTATGGAAAAGATGCTCTAAGCAATGATGACAGGGCAAAGACACAGTCAAAGAGAAACACATGAAGTGCTTCACAATCTTCATTCAAGCCATCCTTCAGCACAGACATGGTAGGGAACACAGCTTAGAATACCCACTCAAGTAAGCCTGAAGGTCAGCAGATCTTGTGTTTTTACTGTAACAGCAATTCTCATAAGTTGCAGAGTTGTGATCAGATTGTCAAGAAGTCTTTAAATGATAGACTTGCATTTCTTCAGAAAAGGGCGCTGTGTTTCGGATTCTTGTGTCATGGTCACTTGAGCAAGTCCTGGGAATCCTGCATGTTGTGTACGAAACTGAAAGAAAGCTGGTTGGTGCATGTACTGAACAAAAATGTACAAAGATACCAATATGATGATATAAACATATTTATTTCCATAAAGTGGAGGGATTGACAAACAAGCAAATTTTGCTTATCTGAATGCCTCTCCCAAACATGATACATATACAAATTACAATGTTTTGAAAGTGACATGTGAAATAGCATACATTGTATAATTGACATTAAAGATAAGTATTGTTCTGTAAGTGTTTAATTACTGGATTATTTTTCCTAACCACAGTTACGTTATTATTTACATCCAGCACAACAACATCGCAGTATCATATAGCTACGATTATAATGACAAAGCTAATGAGATATTATTAATGTACAAAGATAACAATATAATGACAAAGCCAATGAGATAGATAACAATATAATGACAAAGCCAGTGAGATAGGATTAACGTTCAAAGATAAAAATATAATGACAAAGCCAATGAGATAGGATTAACGATCAAAGATAACAATATAATGACAAAGCCAATGAGATAGGATTAATGAACAAAGATAACAATATAATGACAAAGCCAATGAGATAGGATTAATGAACAAAGATAACAATATAATGACAAAGCCAATGAGATAGGATTAATGAACAAAGATAACAATATAATGACAAAGCCAATGAGATAGGATAAACGTTCAAAGATAACAATATAATGACAAAGCCAGTGAGATAGGATTAATGAACAAAGATAACAATATATTGACAAAGCCAATGAGATAGGATTAATGAACAAAGATAACAATATAATGACAAAGCCAATGATATAGGATTAACGTTCAAAGATAACAATATAATGACAAAGCCAATGAGATAGGATTAATGAACAAAGATAACAATATAATGACAAAGCCAATGAGATAGGATTAATGAACAAAGATAACAATATAATGACAAAGCCAATGAGATAGGATTAACGTTCAAAGATAACAATATAATGACAAAGCCAATGAGATAGGATTAATGAACAAAGATAACAATAAAATGACAAAGCCAATGAGATAGGATTAACGTTCAAAGATAACAATATAATGACAAAGCCAGTGAGATAGGATTAATGAACAAAGATAACAATATAATGACAAAGCCAATGATATAGGATTAACGTTCAAAGATAACAATATAATGACAAAGCCAGTGAGATAGGATTAATGAACAAAGATAACAATATAATGACAAAGCCAATGAGATAGGATTAATGAACAAAGATAACAATATAATGACAAAGCCAATGAGATAGGATTAATGTACACAGATAACAATATAATGACAAAGCCAATGATATAGGATTAATGTACAAAGATAACAATATAATGACAAAGCCAATAATCCTAATCCTTTGTCTTTATGTTGGTATCTTTGTACATTTTTGTTCAGTGCATGCACCTTGTGTAAACATAAATATATAAATATATATGTATACAGATTCAGGTTCTTTATTTCTTAATAGACCGCCGACGGTGGTACAAGTGCACATATACAGTACAGAAATTAATATAAAATAATATGTATATCCAGAAGGCTGTGTGCATTAAGATTTAGAATTCAAAGTGGTAAATGCTAAATATACATATTTTGATAGATGTAAATGCTCGTTAAATGTAGTTGTTTAAAACAGACTTTTCATTGAAAACACATTTGATCAAGTTAAAAATTTGCTAGGAGCGTCGTGGCAAACAATGAAAGAAGTTGCATTCCATAAAAAAGTATTATATATTCATAAACAAGGCAAACCAACAGTCATATGTCTGTGCATGGTGGGGTGAGGTGAGGTGAAATGGGGTTTTAACGTCACGTTTAAGATTATTGCACTTATATAGCGACGTGCATGTACTTTTGTGCGTCAGTCCACTGATATACCATGCTGCAGTTTTAACACGAATACCCCACTCGTGATCAGAAACAGTATACTAACTCAGAGCCGACCAAGTCCTTGTTTTAGCCCCTTAATGCCGAACGCCAGACAGGGTAACAACAAGTACCCTCTTTTAACGTCTTTTGGTATGACGCGGCCTGGGATCGAATCACAGACCTTCCGCTCTCCGGGCGGACGCTCTGTCACTGTGTGGTTCATGTGTTTATAACACCCCTTGAAAGTGAAATATAGCAATATATTTTTCTTATATTATTATGCAAGTCAGTATGATGTACAATACGATGGGCGAGGAAAGCAATAAAAAGGTAAGCTGTTGCTCTTGATTAAAAATACGTATTTTGAGGTCTGTATTTGTACCCAAGCGATCCGTGAAGATCCGGGTAGAGAATAGGTCTTCAGCAACCCACGCTTGCCTAAAAGATCAGCAAATATTTGAAAAAGAAAGGTCTCAGAAAAAGAGAAAAAGTACCGAAACGCGAACAATAAACGCATCGGAATAAAAACGTGTTTGGCACATATCAGTTGTGGAAAGAAGAGTATATTTTAATCATTTAATCCCATCCATACGAAGGAAAGTACAGTGTACAAATGGTCATTGTTTAATTATGGATAGGAAAATGTCTAAGGGTTATGAAGGGTGAAGAATAGGTTGGCTTTGCCAAGAACGTGTGCAGCCGACCATGACCGCCAAAGGAGGCTTGCCTGGGTGAGAATGAAGGGGTGGGCTTGTGCAAGCGTCTAATTTTGGCGGACATTTCTTCCAAGACAATAATTGGAGCCTTTGTATTGTCGTTTCAACCTTTTGAAATTGATAGACAGGACTAAAATGCAAATAAACCTGACTTACGCACCGCTTTCGATGTTTTTAATGCGATTTTTGCATTAGATGTTAGATCTATCCAACTCTGCAGAGTTGTATTTACCCTTGAGGCCTTCACTTTAAGACTCAAACCTGCACCGCCAGTTGGGGCGACGGAGACGACTGACTCTTCCAACGCTGTGAAATTACAATTTGTATAAAAGTGGAATACAACACTACACACTCACTCATGCATACAACACATTCACTCGTATTGGGTCTGAGTTTTATATATTATGACCAGTGACTTGTACATCCTTATTTTATTGCAGCCTCTAATTTGTTTTTGTGTCTTGTGTCATCATGTTGTCTTACTGAATGCTTGGCCTTTAGTCATGTCTGTAACACCGGGGAGACCTCGGATGACAAGCGGCCATCATGAATTATTCAACAATTCAGTGGTCTACGGTTGTAATTGCTGTACAATCTAATGGAATTGACAGAAAACATTACCCCCGATGACAAATAGGAAATGATACTTTTTTCTAGAAACCCATGTTTTCATGTTACTCTTCGATTAAATAAACTGAATCAATCATTCGACGGGTATTGCCACATTAAACGTTTGGGGTCCTCAAAACCAACTCATTTACTATCTCGATGACATGCAGGACAACAAACGGACTGAAATATTAACAGGTCTTGTTTATAAAGACGATACTGCAATGCCAGTTCTCAAGACCAAGTTACACATCCCGCTCCCATACTTAAACATGCGTCTAAATAGATGACACACAAAGACCAATCAACGAGTTTCAGGCTCAGACTTCTGTTAGAACGTATCGACCGCTTTAGTCTGTCACGACCGCTCCGCACCAGCGGTGCCAGGGCACTATCGCTACGCCTGGTCTTCTGGAATTGAAAGTGTGGGCTCGTGCTGTGACGTCGGTAGTCACGTGACGTGCACAAGCGGAGGTTCTCCCACACTCTCTGTTTGTAGTAGATGCATTACTAGAACGTAGGAGTACAGTTTCTGTTTGGTTGGACTCAACTACAGAATCTTCGCCAGAAATTTGCAGTCGAGTTCGGTGCTTTATCAAACGAAGGTAAGACATGTTTAGCATTGCCAGGTTTAACTTCCCAAGCCAGTTCATCAAAAGGGGATTTTTTCTTTTGCAGAATCAGTTTATTTTCCACACCTGTTGAATATGGCCATGTGCAAGTACATCCTGCGATATTTATTAGTAGCTCGCGTAAGTTTTGAATGTATTTACTGAATGGAGTGTTGCATTTTATGTAGGCGACATTAGACATGGTGTTATCAGTTAGATATTATATTGTGAATACATGCATTTGGCTTCACAATGGACGGTAAGGAAACGGTAATTTTCATAGGTGGAATTGCTGAATAAAACAAGCAAATGTTTAAAACACGAACAAGACTGCACTGCACCTTTTCAATAGAAAACGCATATAGCCTTTCGTGCAGAGACGTAGCTTTTACTTCAATGTTTAATATGAATCCCGGGTATATGGTATATGTCTTGATCTCTCTTGAAGGTTGATAGTATTTCAAAATACGAATAAGTTCTTAAATAAACTGGTCATCAACGTACTGGCCATTTTAAAAAAGTGGAGAAAACATTATTTTAAAGGTACCTTCTATAGAATTTCAGGCATAATTGATTATTATCTTATTGCTGTAACAGTAAATGAAATATATTGAATTCGTGATCAAACTCGTATGTGTTTACCATACATTAACTCTACGGCTTTCTATAATTCTTCGAGAACACTTTGCACTGTACATTCTTCAATAGCCCCTGGTTAATCGTGAGTGGCACATACATTATTAAAGGATCCGCATTGTAGCAATACATAGACTCCCATAACAGAGGGCCTTTAATGTTTAATCAGCTTTTACTAGGGGCGGTGCTCCAGGAATTAAGGCTGCTTTGTTAAACAATACTTGTCATTGGCAGTAAATGATTCGGTACGAGTAGGTATACACTGGGGGATAGCGTTAACGCTCAGATGGTGATGCTAAATGTTGTCGTTGTTGGAACTACGATAACCAGGTGCCAAGACAACAACAGAAAAAGGGATATGTATGTAAATATTTGGTCTCCAACATGTATTATTGCTTGTAAATAATTCATGAATAACATTCAATAAATTCTGATTCATTTTCGATAAAGCTAAGTTTGCCGGTGTTCATATATACACTACCGACATAATATAAGGGTTCTAATGATTTGAATGTTGCTATCGTTGAGATGTACATTTACAATGCCGTGGCATTGCAACATCTAATCACAATGAAATTTCACATCATGAATAAATAGCATGTGATGCACGTGCACACGGAAGCCAAATGGTGAGCCTCTATAGTGGAATTCACCATGACTAATGCACTTGGGCCAGGCAGACGCTGAAAGTGTACCCGAGACTATCTCAATGAACATAGAAAATGGCGAATTGCAGGTACGATTGAGTGGGGACATCGGTATCCCCATTCGTGTTATTCCGGGACAAGCCGAATAGGGACTCGTGCCCCTCTCAAGGCCATTCTTGCGACCGGGTTCCGTCTTAGCGCAAACGGGCATACCTAAAACAATTGTCAACTCGTTGCGTAATGGTTCACATATATTTCCCCATATATTATATATATTTCAGATGCAATTTAAAGCACAACAGGACGTGCGGAATTAGACAGTATGATTGAACACATTAAACTGTGTCTTGGATAAATTTTTAGATGCAAGACATATGTAAAATCAAAAAATATTTTTGAGGGATTATTTTACGAAGAACTTGAAATCATACGCGCATTTTGATCGGTTTGTCGTATTTTCGCACATTACATTCATCGATAGGGGGACGAGTCTTCTTGCAGGTTACGAAAAGGGGCAAATCAAAAAGTGTAATTTCTCGTCAGTGAGACAAGTACCGTTGCAATGAGATCTGGTCGTGGCAGGCCTAAAAACGACACCTGGACAATATCGTCTTTTTACATTAATTGTACAACGCAACAGATTCAAATCGGCTCCTGTTATCAATAGGGAGGCGAATTTCAACATCTGCCATTAAAAGCCGGCTATGTGCAGGCGGCCTGAAAGCAAGGCATCGTGTGACAGCTTACCATAGGCGGCAAAGATTGGGGTTGGCTAGTCATCACCAGGGACATACTGTACGTCAATGGCGTTAAACCAGGTTTACAGGCGCATCAACGTTTTGCCTCCGACTCACAGATGGCAGAAAACATTGTTGGCGACGTAGCGGCGTGTGGGATGCCGGAACAACAATTCTTGATCATGATCGGTATGGTGGCGATAGTGTCATGGTGTGGGGCGGTATCACACATGACAGGCGAACTGATTTGGTTACTGTAAATGAAAATTTGACTGGCCAGAGATATGTAGCTGAAGTTTTGCGTCCTGTCGTTGTTCCATTTACTGGAATTATCGGTCGAAATTTTGAACAGCAAGATGACAATGCCAGACCATATCGTGCTCAGGTCGTCACCGACTATCTCCGACGAGAAGCATATGGGCATTGGAATGACCAGCTGACATGTCCCCAATACAGCATCTGTGGGATGTTACTGGGCGGAGAGCGTTCGCCAGAGACACAACACCCGCCAAAGTGACCCAACTTGGGGTAGCTCTTGGGGTAGCAATACCGAGTCAACCATACGCACAGTAATCAACAGTATGCCATCAAGGTGTCGTGCATGTATCGCCCAAGATATTGACCTACACGCAAAATTCTTTTTTTATATCTATCTCCATTCAATATCATTTTATCTGTTCCCTTACTTTTTGTCGGTAAAATAGAGTGGTTTATCGATCTCCATGTAAACATGATTTTGCAATGAACTAATGTAATGGCCAGGATAGGTGTCTGAGTTGATTGCGTCTCTTCGTATCCCGACTGCGTAGATCGCTGCTCACGATATCGATCAGTGGATTGTGTATTCCAGATTCGATTATTACAGGCCGCCGTCATTTAGATGGACTATTACAGAAAGCGGCGTTAGACAACAAGGAAAAATATCAAAACAGACTTGAGGTCGCACCTATATCTTGTCATATCTGTCTTACATAAAATCTTTTTAGGTCTTCAGCAACCCATGCTTGCTGTAAAAGGCGACTCTGGTTGTCGTGAAAGGCGACTAACGGGATGGGTGATCAGGTTCGTTGACATGGTTGTTACATGTCATCGTATCCCAAATGCATGGATGATGGTCTCGATTATTTACAGACTGCCGTCATTTTGCTGGAATAGTACAGCATTAAACAAACAAACAAACAGTTTCACAAACAAACATGCAATATTAGCTGTAGATAATACATACCCAAATGTAGTTTCGTAAGGTGTGAATTAAGTTCTCTTGCATTTTGAAAGACTCCTGAACGATTACCCATACCTTCAATGTCACCCAAACAGGTGTCAGAGACTTCAGGTACATGACCACACATGATTATATTGCAGGTCATGAAAAGATATTACTTCTAGAAAAAAATAGTTTTCGTAAGTAGCGTTATTTATCGTTGATACTATTTTGTGTATTCAACGTAAGCTTGCTTACGGCTAACGTAAAATACGGGCTGTTGAAAAACCAAACTAAAAACTATATTTAGTGATTCCGGGTTTTAATTAGTTCCCAGCAAAGTATACGGATAGTAAGAGCCATAATAATGGTTCTGGTTGTCAGACTCGGTGACTCAGTTCATAAAAAATCCAGTTGTAGGGATTGATGCTCATGATGTCAATCAAAACACACTCGAAACAAAGCAGGCCGCCGTCATATAGCTAGAATATTACCGAGTGCAGCGTTAGACAAAACACAATACACTTGGAAAACATCATGCATATTCAATATTAAGCAAACTCGTAACAATCCGGGTTAGAATAGATTTTTAGCATCACATGCTTGTCGTAAGAGGCTGTCAACGGGATCGTGTGGTCAGGCTCACTGGTCAAACCCTCACCATGATTATGCCTCACTGGATCACAACGAAAAACTAACTGGAAAACGAACCTCGAACTAAGACAAACTATGTGAATGGCAAACTACGAATTATTGTGATCATCACGAACTATCGTTATCGCCACGAACTTTTGTGACCATCACGAACTATTAGGCTCACCGCAAACTATTGGGATCACCAGGAACTATTGGGATAACCAGGAACCATTGGGATCATCACGAACTATTGGGATCATCACGAACTATTGGGATCATCGCGAACTATTGGGATTTTCATGAACTATTTGGATCATCGCAAACTATTTGGATCATCACGAACTATTGGGATCATCGCGAACTATTGGGATCATCACGAACTATTGGGATCATCACGAACTATTGGGATCATCACGAACTATTGGGATCACCACGAACTATTGGGATCAGTTACCATTCGACTCTCACCAGTTTAGGTTATAAGTCAGAGATCGCAGCATTTATCCTTTAAGACACCTGCGTCATGTACATGGAAACCTTCAATGTTATCACGTAAAGTAAAGGGTAATCTTAAATATAGCGCCATTAATATTTCATTCGATCTAAATGGAAAATTATTGCTCCCCCTGTTAAGATAAAGCTGAAGGTTAAAGCTATTTCCGTATTTTTGACACTGAATAATTAATAAACAGGATATGTAGATCAATTCCACATTTTCTTAAATGTGAAATTTCATTTAGAAGGAAAAGAATATCAAACGTCAACGCCAGAGAATAACCGGTGTAGATTATCCGCCGAAACATATTCCATCGGGCGATCAAGGCGAAATAGAACAAAAAATATATGAATGGATCAGTGAAAATCAGAGTTATTTGTTTTGAGGATATTTCAGCGTTTCTTCGATTGCATATCTCGCTCATACGAGGACGAATGTACTGAAATGATTAACTTCATGATCGATGTGGAATTGAACATTTCAAGATTTGGGCTGTTGCATATGTAGGTCCTACGGAAAAATAAAAGCTACGAAAATAAAAAGCCTTAAATACGAGAAGATTTCTTATCTGACGATCACTAGCAATGTACGCGTACGTGTCAATAACTGCAGTTTGTTGACAATTGAATATCGTTCTGTTG